GCGAAGAGGGAGGGGAGAGAGGTAGGATTGAGGAATAAAGAAAGTCCATTAATGGGGATGGTGGAGGAGATCTAAGGGCTAGATTTTGTGTCTCGTGGAAGGAGGTAAGGTCTTCAATAATTAAAATCTCTGAGAAAAGTAAATATGATTCGTGGTTAGTTTTGCCCCTTTTGGTGACAGTTGGGGTGGGGCGGACATATTGTCATGGTGTCATTGGCATCTTTACCCGTTTTTCCTTCTATAGTTGGGTGAAGTCACCGTTGGGCCTTTAGGCCCCAAGGGAAGAAAAAAACACAATTGGCCTCAAATGCCCAACTCAAAAAGAAAATGGAGGCCCAAGAACAGAACCTATGTTGAGTGTTCTCCCATTGCCGGAGATACTGGTATTAGACATGTTCATGTGTGACATACATATGCTTTATTGCATGGGAAGAAGGGATTAGGAAATTAGGAATGTTACCATACAGAAACTTATAATTTGTTTGGATTGAGGAAGTTGAAGGGAAAATGAAGGAGAGTGAAAGAGAGAGAGCACTTTTAATATTTTAGATTAATAATTTTAATGAAAGAGAGGAAGATGGAAGGAGAAGGAGCCCCTCCCCTCTATTTTTAATTTTTTCAATTTAAAGGGATTTTGTGTTTGATTAGTGCGTAATGATTTTTTTTTTTTAAATAAATAGCATTCTCCACCAATTAAGTGTGGAGTGCTTGTACACACAGCATTTTGTTGAATGTATTTTACGTTCTTCCTAAAATCTAAAAGGTTAAATGCTCAATTTAATTCCTGAACTATTATATAGACCTTAATTTAGTCCTTAAATTAAAAAAATCCCTAATTCGGTCTCTAAACTATTGTACGGATTCTCGATTTGGTCCTTACTGTTTATCAATTTACTTCAAGTTGGTCCTTTCGTACAAAAACCAACTGATGTGTCTTTTTATTAATGTAATACGTAATTGTTAAGTTATTATTTTTCGTCGTTAATTTACTATTTTTTACCGTTAAGTAATGGATATGTCAGTTTTTTTTTTTGTACAAAATGACCAATTTTGGGCAAATTAGTAAACAGTAAGGATCAAACTGATGGTTCGTACAATAGTTCAGGAACTAAATCAAATATTATTTTAATTCAGAAACCAAATTAATGATCTGTACAATAGTTCAGGGACTAAGTTGAGGGTTTAACCAATCTAAAAAGATTGGCAGAGACCATTCACAACAATACAAAAGGATGAAGGTAACCACGTTTCCCGATTCATGCAAACCCTGAGCCTTGCACACTTCATTGTTGTGCAACTAGAGGTATGCATGAATTGGCAGCCGTGACAATTCCCCTACTCCTTTCAACTTGGAGTGAATGGACTCCACCTAACCCCATCAAAAACCCTAAAGAAACACAACAGACTATTTAAATACGAACCAAACTAAGACACAAGTAAATTTTCTTTAGTACATTACCTCAGTGACGGTCGTGAAGCTGAGGCTTGTTTGGGGACTATAAGGAGCATGATGGCCCTTTTATAGGCTAAAACATGGAGCACCGAGGTTTAATCTGGACCGTTTAATTTCAAATTTTGCAGAAAATCTGAGACTGGAATTTTCCTGTTAAGGGATTCGATGAAGGCGATGTTAGTGCTAATGGTATCGTTTCCCCCTTTTTTTTTTGCAATTATGTGTTATTCTTGGCTGGGACGAGATATTATTGCTTAATTAATTTTGTTCTTCTCAGAGTTTCAGAATTGATCATGGTTTTATAATTTTGGTCCTGAATCGGTCATGATTGGCCTCTCGATCCTGACCATCCGATTAATTGGTAGACTTTTTCTTTGTGCGTGTTGGAAAATTTTGGTTTCATGTTGTTCTCCATTATTAGCAGTAAAGTACTATCTGATTCTTTTTTCTTTTTTTTATGTTTAGTAGTAAGATGTTCTCTTATAAATTTGTACGTAATTTAAAATTAAGTTTTCTTTTATATGGTTAAAGATAGATTATTGATCACTCTAAGACTAAAAAATTTTAAAAAGAATAATTTCTTTGTTGATCTTTTTAAAAAAATTTAATTTTAGTTAATAAGAAAAAGAGCAAATCTCTTACCAATTAAATCAAAATTTTTTTAGTAAAAAATCTATTTTATTATTATTTTTTAATTATAAGACCTCGTTATTAATGATTTGAAACTTTTTTAAACATATTTTATTTTAATGTTTGAACTTGAGATTTTTTAAAGTTGAAGTCTCAAATTATTAATCAACAATTTTTTTTTTTTTGGTCAAAATGTATATTTGGAAATGAGAGAACCAGAGTTTAGGGCTTTTCAAAAGCCAATTGATGAACAAGGGCCTTTCAAATTGCTTAAAACTCGAAAATATATTTGGCTTGGGTTGGTAGCTGAAACCTTCCCTAGCTAAAATTTCCTTTATTTCTTGAGTCATATACTTTTAATTTCAAAACACATATAAATCAAGAAAGCTGCAATTCCCAAGTGGTCTACTACATTGGTGATAAATAATTATATAACCTTTTTTTTTAGTTATATACTCTTACAAAGAAGAAATTACCTCATCTGGCAACTGGCATGCATCAATCATATAATAAACCAATCAGTTTTTGGACAACTCTGTCAAATCATGACATTTGCTTATTCCAAACTTGTGATCAATCAAAAGTTAGCAGTGTTGATTATTAAAAACAAAGCAAACCTAAAAATGCTGGACACACTTTATTCAAAGCTTATTTGGTGATGGTGGATTTTGGTTGCTAAGCCACTCCCTTTGTAATTGGATTCTGCTTGTTATATGGGAAGCATCACTACTACAACCCAAGATTCCATCTCCTTGAAGCTAATTAAACGTCCAACTACAATATGATGCATCATAATATCCATTTTTATCCTTATTTTGGTCAAGAAAAACACTAATGTAATTATGGATGTCAACAGGGTCCTACGGGGCTGGCAGCCCCTCCCCATCATCGTCCCTGTGATTCACGGGGATGGGGATTCGGATCCCTGTGAGATTTTTGATGAGGGGCAGATTTTACCCCCACGTCCCATTTCTTGTAGGGAACGGGGATCCCTGCAGAGATCCTCATTTCCCAATAGTTAGTATGAGATGGCTTTGACAACAACAGCAATGGCTCCGACAGCAGTAGCAGATGGCTTCAGCAGCAGCAGCAGTAGATGGCTCTGGCAACAGTAGCAGCAGATGGCTTTGGCAACAGCAGAGCAGATGGCTTCGGCAGCAATAGAGGAGATGGATTCGGCAACAGGCTTCAGCAGCAGTAGTAGAAGAGATGGATTCGGCAGCAAGCTTCAGCAGCAACAACAGCAAAGCAGATGTCTTCGACAGCAACAGCAGAGCAGATGGATCCGGCAACAGCAAAGTAGATGACTTCAGCAACAGCAGAGTAGATGGATTCGATAGCCAGCTTCGACAACAGCAACAACAAAGGAAATTGAGAAGGTGAGATAGAGGTGAGAGATAGGTGAGCCGCAAACAAAGAGATTGAGAGTGAAACAGTGAGTGATGAGAATTAAAATAAATTAGGGTTATGGTTAAATGTAGGGGAATGGATTGCGTTGGGTTGGATATTATTGGGTTAAATTTAATTGTAATTGGATTGGATTTGGGTTTAGGTTTGAGTTTGAGGTTGAGTTTAAAGAGTATATATATATATATATATATATATTTTTTTTTTTTGCGGGGATGGGATCCCTGTAGGGCCCCATGAAGTGGGGAAAACTCCCCGCGAAATTTCACGAGGAGAAAATGGTCCCAATCCCCACCCCACAGGAAAGAATATTCCTCCCTGCCCCATTCCCGTGGTGGGGATCCTCATGGGGCGCCACGGGAAACGGGGAGAATTGCCATCCCTAAATGTAATGGAATAAGCCCATTACACAAGATTGTTTTTGTATGTTAATAATAAGACTTTCACAAACACAACCTTATCTTACAACAAAGGTTTACAATAGTCACATGATCCAGGCTAGTAATCATCTACTTTTCTTGCTCGGAGGTAATCTTCTTCTTCTTTAGATCGATGTGGTAACCGCTAACAAGATTAAATGTTCAAGGCAAATGAAAACAACGGAGGAGCCTGGCATGTTATGGGATCATCCTGTATCACTGATTTCTAATTGATCCATATATGCAACCATGTGAAAGAAAAAAGCATCTTTATTTTACAAATATCTAATTCCACCATTATGAGCAAAATTAATGTACAAGAGCATCCTGTTTTAATGGGATAATTGTAAGACCAAAAGTTCTCATGTCTCAGCATGGCATGTTTAACAGTCTCCTTAACCTAAACGGAGGTTTTGGAAGCTTTTGAGCGAGATTGCTGGTCTTCCAACCTTGCCTCCAGCAGTTTTGCCCTCAATGTATTCTCCTTAATGCCCTGAGGCAATTTCAGAGAAGATTCAGGTTCTCTAAAATCTGAAGTTGTCAAATTAGATGCCCATTGTTGCATTGGATTAGTATGACCTGCAAATGATGACTGAACACCTCCTGATGACAAGGCACTATTTCTGATTAAGTTGCCATGAAGATTGCTTGAGTTCGATTCAAGGCTTCCACTCTGTTTAGTTCTTCTGTCATATAGACCATCTTGGGTAGCCTTGTGAATGTCAGACTTTCTTCTCCCAGCATGCTTATCTTCTCTCATTTGATATTGTCCAATAGGCAATTTACCACCCCTGGTACTGGTGCCCATTGGCACTACCTTGTTCTTTGTGGAGTTTGGATTCACCACTTCTTCATGATGACTTTCTAAAGCACTAACTCCATAATGTTTAGAGCTGCCCTTTCTTTTTATTCTGCTTGCACTCTTGTTTAGTTCATAAAATTGTGAATCACCATAGCTACAATCTTCTTCGTCAGCAGCACCTTGAGGTGCACTTACAGCTTCATTCAGTGGAAAGGACTCCAAAGAATACCGGAGTGAGCAGTTTTCTCCATGTTCATTAGTGGGCAGCTTAACATCCCTCCTAGATCCATTGGAGCGTTTAACTTGAAGAAATGTTTCTATATCAAGACTTAACTTGTCCACTATTGTGTTCCTCTCTGCATAATCATCTTGACCTTCTGCAAGCTTCATTTGCATCCGCTCATCAAGCCATGCCTCAGAAATATGAAGAATTAAACGCTCAGATGTGTCTCCCTTTATGTGATCCATCTCATGCTTGTGATTTAGGAAACGAATCTCTTGTTCATAATCCTTTATTCCCTTCGCAAATTCATCACACAAATTCTCAAGTAGAACCCGTGCTTTCTCCTCTCTTTCAAGCTCTTTCAAAGCATTAGAAAAGGAAGATTTTACCTGACACAGTTCTCGAGTCAGCTTTCGATGTAGGCTTTCTGAGCGCTTCCTTAACTTCCTCTCATCTTTTAACTCATCTCTCACTGACTGAATGGCAGCTTTGATTCGGTCTTGATCCTTGTTCTTCCTAACCAGTTTGTCCTCTGTGACTTGCTTCATCAAGTCATTCATTTCTTGCTTGTCCGTCTGCTTCTCTTGCAGCAACTCTTTAATTCTTGCCCGGGAACAATCCAGCTCCATCTTCAAAGCTTTTAACGATGACATATTAGATGCATGCTGTTCTTCAAGAGCCCAGATTCGGTTGAGTACCTTCAGTAACTGTGTAGATGTCTTGAAGCTATAACTTGACTCACCCATTTTTCCTCTAAAATCCAAAGAACTAGATGGCGTGACAGCAGGGTTATAAGGTGCCAACTGCTGAAAAGGGGAATCTAAATCTAGTAAACCATAATCTAGGTAAAATTAATCAAAAGAACAAATTTGCTGTTTAGTAAATCAGAACAAAATATGAACACTTCAGTAAATAAGTGCACTAAACAAATCAACTATCGCATGTTGTGTCCTTGCAGAAATTATGGTAAATGTATAAATAACTTTTGAAGTCAACAGCATATCACAATATTGTTTCCTGGTTCAAAAATGAATGAAAGAACAACATTATGTTTGTTCTTGTCTTCAGGACAAGGGAAGGGAAGCCATATATCTCCTTTTCATTTCATTTTCTACAAAGGAGAAACATCTAGAGAAGAATGTAGAATAATGCTTACCTCCATTGAGCTACCAAAACTTGCAGGAGACAAAGGCCGGCCATTTCTTTCAAAGGATTGACGGTGTTGCATCAGTGACGCTGCAATGTGCCTCCTCAAGCTACTTGCACTTCCTGGCTGAAATCAAATTCCGGTTAGAGATTAGTTCTCATATCACTCACAATGTCTTAAGGATTCTTATATTTATAAAGTGCCTAAGAATGGATCACTAGATTCACTACTACAAAGGATTAAAAATTCTATGCTTTCATTCAATCAAACTCGTCAACCTAGCACGCAAAACTAGCTGCACTCCCAAACTAGCACTTTAGTTCCCCACCAAAATTGAAGGAATTTGGAACGAGCACTATCAACTATCAAGGCTAATGGTATGATCACACCAAATAGTCATGGATACTCGGTGAATGTTGATACCCAAGAAGAGCTTCTTACTAAACAAATTGAATATGCAACTAGATGCCCCTTAAATGTAGAAGATCAGAGGGACAAAGAAAGCAACTCTTTTTGAAACAAGCATTATTTGTGAAAGCAATCACTCAAATCTTAGCTCAGAACATGAAACTCCCTTATTTTCACTGTACAAGATATGAGCTCCAAAAAGAGTAGACAATTTGAATCGAAAGTAAAAACTATCAGTTCAAATTGCTTACAGATGCCATAACATTATGGAATTTAAAGGAAGAAAAAGATGCGAGCATGTTTTCACTGAACGTACACTGGTCCCCTATAGAGCTGACAATAAAAGCAGAAACCAAGTATATGACATGAACCCTTGGTATGGAAAAGAAGCAAATTTTTGCAATAGCAGGGCAGAACAAAAAGAAAACATATTGAAGACAATACAGAACAGCAGGAAACAAGCAAATCAACACAATGACCAAAAAAAACAACTAGAATCAGTAGAAGGCAAAGCCTTTGTAAAAAAACAATAACACATCAATAATTGAACCCTAATAAAATCAAACAACATAATTAAAGGAGGAAAAAGGAAGCAGTACCCGATGAAGGGGGATGTTAGAAGGGTCATCATCGACATCAAAATCCTTGTCTTTAAGGCGGTGGTGCAGCCTTGCAGCTCCCTTTTGCGTATATCTAGGTGGGTAAAGAGGGTGAACCTCCCAAAGATTGGCACAGAGTTTCCTTGCAGAAACTGTTGTAGGGGGAAAGTTGAGGAATTCTTGGATGGGGTTTCTGCAGTTTTGGTAGTTATGAGAGGAAAACTCAAGCCTCCAAATTGGTGAAGGAGTAGAGGGACCAGCTCTTTTCCCTACCAGTATCCCGCGTTTCAACTTTTTCACCATGAATTCTTCTTCCTCTGCTTCTTTCTCCACCCCCTTTTCTTTTCCAAGTTCCATCTTTGTTTCCCTTCCTCACTCCCTCTCCAAATTTCAAACTCTGCCTTCTTCTTCTCTGTTTTTCTCATGCTTATTCATTTAATCAGTTGCCCCTTGTCTTGTCTTCTGTACTTACTTTTTCTTCAGCTCTAGATATACTCAAGAAGAGAAAAAAAAAAAAAAGAAAAAATGAAAAATGAAAAGGAAAGTCCTAGACTCCTTTTGTTTTGTCACTTTTGTCTCTTCCATTGTACTGCTACCTGGTCCTCACTTATGCAGTGCCTTTAATGAAATTCAAAGATAATGATGATTAAATTTTCTTTGGGAAGATTAAAAGATTACTTAAGGTAATAGTACTATATAATTAAGCATTGGTTAAGCTATGGAATCTAGGTGGGTTAGGCCAAGGAAGAGCAAGGCCTCCTGTTTTGAGTTTTCTCCTCCTTTTCTGAAACAGAACATACACCCCATGTTACAAATTTATGGTCCTTGCCCTTACAACATATTCATCTTTGTGTTGCAGTGTTTTCCTTTCTAATGCAAGGTTTCAGAAGCAGGTAACTTTATGCAGAGCCTGTGTCCCAGAAAACATGCGTTTCTGAGATTGTAACTATAAGATCCTCTTCTAGGTATCCATTCATCTTCTTTTCTCCGTGGAACAAAAAGTATGTCATTCATACTACATAGCCAGTAAAAAAATTAGAACAAGGATAATAAGCAATGAGTTAGTGGAGAAGGGCATGATTAAATATGAGAGAAGAGAACCACAACCTTGAAAGCATATTTCTGCATCTTAATTCAATGCGGTCCAGTTTCATACATGGTTAGTTGTTATAGTTGTCATTGTTGTCAATGGTACATCAAAAAACTGCTGCCTTGCTGATGGTAAAAACGGTTGGTGGGCTTAATCCTAAACCTACCAAAATAAATAAACAATTGCCCGTATAAATTTGCATAGGAAACGGAGTATGCATTGGAAACATCATCCTCAGTTCAGCCACAACCCTACATGTCGTCATTGTTAGAGGTTGAGACCAATCAATTTCCCCGTTTGGTAGAGACAGTGAGTGCAGTTGATGGGTCTTTT